AAATACAATCCATTCCAATCACCATGTAATAGTCACTTACTGTACGATATTGTCTGTGCAATTTCTCAATCATCCAGCACATGGCAACAGCAGAATAGGCTGAAAACAATTTTGTGCCATCTGCCAGAACCAAAAGAGACTCCTGGATAGGTGTCACAACGTTTTCAGAAAAACTGAGCAGAATTCTGGATGCCTCCATTTAAGCCTGTGTTGTGATCACCTGCAATATCAGTGAATTCAGTGAGTCTACCTGTATGTATTTTATTTTTAGAATAACCTCAACTGGTTTGTGAAGACCTCTGAGGTTTGCAAAGAAACATCAGTGGATATACAGCATTATGAACACCAAGAAACACAACAAACAGGTCAGGGAGAAGATCACTGAGAAATTTACCTTATAATAGGCTGAAGTTATAAAACTATATTCCAAGTTCTGAGCATCTCACGGATGACCATTAAATGTATTATTTAAAAATGGTATGAGCATGACACAACAGTAAAACATTGGTTGAGTGTAAATCTGGTGAAAACAGTGTTTTGATCTAGTCTTCAAGAAAAACTGGCAATGACAGAGGCACTGGGATAAGAAATGCAATTAAAAGTTGGCAATGTAGGGGCAAAACAAATATTAAGAATGTATGCTCAAGAGAAACAAAATCTATTCGAAAAAGTAAAAAAAAATCCACTGGACTTTGTTTCCTAGTCCAGGTTTTGACATTTTGCTTCCCATCCAGAAAGCTTTCAATTCCAAATATCCTGACATTTTGAATTTAAAAAACTTCCTGGATGGAAAGCAAAATGTCTTCAAACTTGGAAACAAAGTCCAGTGGATTTTTTTTTTGTTGTTTGTTTGTTTTTTGGAATGACTATGACCTGGATGACTGAGAATCTTCACCAGCATATGACACAAAAGCTAAATCCATGGTCTACAAGAAAAGTCAACCATATATTGCCACAAAATGAAGGATGGTCTCTACGACAAGAAAGGTTGGAGGCAGCAAATTACCTTAAACTGGGGATTGCTTTCTACCTTCCATCAAGGCAATGATACAAAAGTATGCATCCAGAACTGCAGTGGAGCTTAGATCAATATTCATACCAGAGTTGGTAAATTTCTCCACTGTGAGATCAATAAAGTCAATCAATCAATCAATAGTCTAGGTGGAGATCTAGTTAAATAGTTGTGGTAAGATTGAAAATGTTCAAAGATGCTTTCCGTCTGATCTGACTTGGTTTAAACTATTTCACAAAGAAGAAAACATATAGTAGCGCACCAATTTGAAAAACTGGTGAAGATATAAAAATAAATACTTTCTGCGGTCTGTTTGTTTTACTTTTTAAGTATGAACCTTGGAGATCTAAAAAAAAAAAGCACTGACGATGTTTTATAGTTCGATTTAAGAACAAAGAATTTAAAAAACTGTTAAAAATTTATGATTTCCATCTCATTTCATAATCCACTATTTTGTGTTTTTTCTGTCACATAAAGTCCCTGCAAACTTAACTTTTAGCAGAGCTGGAAATAGTGTCATTGTTTTCTGTGGTTTTCACAACGATAAACCAAACTGCTGAAGCCAAAACATCCGTTGCGTGTTTCTTTTCTTCCTTTTCTTATACTTTTGCAAGCTGTAATCAATAAGAGGAGAATTTCGTTTGATCTTTTACAAAAGTAAAAGATCAAAGTTGTATATGTAGATGATCTATTGATCATTTGACGTGGAAAGTAACACACACACAACCCATGAGAAAAGCAGCCCAGGAAAACGTCTGTGATCACTGTAAAAAAAAAAAAAAACTGAGACCAATCAACTTTGGTTATTTTTGAAAACCTGACTAAAGCTGACACCAGGGAAGCACAAACTTAGCCTGGTAGGATATTCTTCTATCCTGTGGAGCCCAAAACGAAGAAATCGATGCTGCTCTTTCAGATTCATTCATTGCTGGATGTGAAACCTAGAAAGGTACATAAATCATATTCATCTCTTTCTGAGGGACTTTTCTGTGTATTTTTGATTAAACAAACACTGTGAGTCAGTATGTTTCTAGGTAACAGTGATGTCATTGCTGCCATGGGACAAATTTGCATCTATCCATTCTGCTTGGACTGCAGCAAGTTTGATTCCGATAATGAGCTGGACTGGGGTCAAACGGCGAGCAGTACATTATATAAGCCACATGTGCATCCCTGCAGTTACAAACCACATGAAACAAAAGGCGTGGGGGGGTTAGAGGAGGAACAGGAACACGAATCCTGTCCAGACACAAGCAGATTCAAACATCCAGAGGAAGGTGGCCCGGTTCAAACACCAAAAACGACCCCCCAAACTTTCCACATAGATGGATGACCCACAGACGCTCAGTGGCATCACACACAAAATAAGACTATACACTGTGCAACGAAAAATAAACCACTCTTATTCCATCTAAGCTTATTGGGTTAGGATGAATGATGCTCATTGCTGTGTATGCATGGAATTTCAACAAAGGAATAGAACTGAAGAGGGGAAAAAGTTCAGTCATGATGCAGTGTGTGTTTTGGCTGAGCAAGAATCTTTTAACATGGAAGGTATAAAGTTGGGACTGTTGTGTTTATTTGTTTCTGCCAAGCCAGTTAGAGAAGCGAACAGAAGTGAGGTGAAACCCGATCAACTGGCACCATGTCGGGCCCATAGCGCTACGGAGCAGCTGGGTTATAGTTGAAAAAACTGACAGACATCCAAAAACATAATGACCCAGGTTACCAAAATATCACAAATAATGGCATGTAAAGTTTAAATATATATTGAGATGTATATTTTTATTCAAACATATATACATTAGCCCGAATATCATCCATAGTGAGTTTGAACGCAGATCCTCAATGAGGGGAGATTAAGTAATTCTAACCAATTGATCCCCTCCTGTTTTGTCCTTCTACACACCCCGAAAACCCTCGCCAAAACACATGCATACACACATTTACTCTGGACCAGCAGGGAAATCCCTCTGTGGCCAGACGGTTCTTTTTAACTTGATATGCTTGTGAATCACCCCTAGTGCTGCTATGCTGCTTCACAAATGAACATAGGGCCCACAGCAAGCGCAGCCCATGCCCCGCTATGCTCTCCGATCACACTGGAAAACAGGATCCAGCTGCCTGGGCACCCTGTCATTACAGACAGACCCATACCATCAGTTGACATGACCACAGCTCATACTCAGCCATCAAACCTCCTGCTGGGAACTCAAATCCAGACGTAACCCCATAACCTGCCTCCATTTTCCATCCTATACCAGCTGTAGCAATGTTCACCTCACACCAAAGCAGAGTTCTGAGAATTAATCAATAATAGTCCCCTCAAGTAGTGGACAGATGGGATATGAGATAAGTTAGCTTATATATATATATATAATTTATTCATATAATGTGTTATATTATATATTCTTTATTCTTTTAGTATTGTTTGTTCTATGTTCTTACCTTTCCGGTCTGACCCCATAGATTTGCCAATGGAGGGTGAGTGATTTCAAATTTACTTAGCTTTGTGTACTCACAGTGAATTACTGTATCACTATATACATGACGAAAATAGCCGATATCTTTAGTCTTTTTCCACAACACTGGAGAAAAGAGTAGACACAAAACAAACTTTCAGATGTCTATTTATTTTACTTTCTTGTAAGGGTTTTTATTGCCGAAACACCAGTGAGACATGCAGAATTTAACTTTTGGCCAGTGGGAGTCGCAATTGAAACAAGTGAATAGTACCGGTAGACCTGGATAGTAGCCATTTATATTTTCTTCTGAGGTGGCAGTGGTGTCAGATGCAGGAGTTTTCCCTTCAGCGGCGGAGTTGTCGGTTCAAGGCCCGGCTTTCAGTGTTGTGTTGTCTTTGGGCAAGACACTTTACCCAAATTACCTACAGATGGTGGCCAGAGGAGGCGCCTGCCTCGTTCTGTCAGTGAGCCCTTGGCAGCTGTGGCTACAATGTAGCTCGCCACCATCAGTGTGCGAGCAAATGACCAAATGTAGTGTAAAGCGCTTTGTTCAAGCTTCTAAATTTGAAAAACCTCTTTGCAAATAGAGGCCATTTCTCATTTATTACCCGAGTAGCTTTTTTAATTTGAATTTAATTTAATTCACCTTTAAGAGTACAGTAGTTTTAGAGCACTGTATTTTTTTACTTTTACTTGAGCAGTATTATTATATGAGATTAATAGCCTTGAGTAAATTTTCATGCTGCTCTATCAACTGAGTTACTTTACTGAATGAAGAAGAACCTCCTTTTAAACCAAAAATGCACAAAAAACAGAAATACGTTTTTGTTAAAAGTGATATTCTAGTTTTGACGAAAGCTTTGGGGTTCGGTTCTTTCTTTTTATTTGAGGAAATTGCTTTATATTAAGAAATTGCTTTCGAGAAGTACTTCTTTGTATTTGTTGGGGTGGGAGTGCAGTTATGTCATATATATTTGTTTCTTGAATTTGAATAGAACGTTATGACACTTTTCTGCCTGATGATATATTTTTTAAATTGAGTCAAATCAATCAGTCTTTATACCTGGTATTTTTGTTTTGTTTTACTTGAGTAATTCCTTCGATGGCTACTTATTACTTTTACTTGAGTAAATATATCAAAATTGTGTAACCTCTGGCCAATAGCAATCTCTAGGAGAGAAACAGAACAAACAATGACCAAAGTCAGATCCTTCAGCACATAAGACCTGTAATCTAGCTGACTGTGGCCTAGTTACCGTAAAGTGGCATTTGTGAGAAACTAGTTTAAAGAGCATAAAAATGAAGCCCATGTGGACTTTGTGAGGAAACCACCAAACACTGAAGCCTGAAAGGTAAAATAATGTTTTATTCTATGACAAGAAAAATGTTTAATCTGGATAGCCTTTTATTATAACTGGTATGAAAGGGGGATCCAACAATTTTTTTCATTTTTTTCCCCACTGCTATAACAAAAGCTTCAGTTCAGGTTCTATCTGCACAGCGATTTGTCAGACTGTGGTTAGCTATGTGGATATGTAGCATGGAGCATCTGTTTAGACTTAATTTCTTACTTTTTTTTCTTACTTTGAGGAACAACACTTCAAAATATCCATACATATTAAATATACCTTTTCTATCAATAAACATGGATTAAAAAAAACATGGATTGATTTGATCATGAAAATATGTTCTGCTTCTAACATATAGGGCCTGACTTTCACACATAACACATCTCATGACGGTTTGCAAACTTAACTGCAGTCGTAAAAGTGCCAATCATATAATTAAAATCTTGGACTGTTTTGTCTTTGTTTAGATATGATGAATTATGAGGAAGGGAGTGGACTCAAAGTACTGGCAAACTCTGATCTGATAAACTGAACATGGTTTGTTTCTTGGCAAAAGGTTGGCTCTTATGCACGTACAAGTGGTACCTTTAGCAATTGTGCTCGTCCAGATGCAGACAAAGGCAAAACTTACTTGCACAAAGCTGATACCAGCATCAGGGTAGAGTGAAGCCATGTATAATATGCTGAGTGAAAAGAAAACACAGCACATTGGCATCAGGGCTTCCCACTTTCTGAGAAACTGTGACATGAAAACAAAGCAGTAGAAAGCAGGAGCTAAGGGAAGAAATGAGGATAAAGACTGTCTGACCTGTAAAACACAGAATCCACCACACTGAGTTTTCTACGTATCTGTCACTGAGTTATTGTTGTTTTCTCTCAGCTTTTTCTGAGAAGTATTTATACAGTATAGCTCAAATGAAAGCACCAAGACTGACGGTGTTGTTTCAAAGGTAAACAATGTTTGGATGTGTTTCTTCCTTCTTATCATGCTAATCAGAGTTCTGAGTATAGACCCCCGGGCAGCCAACACTTGTTGGATGCAGGTCAGTTTGGCTCTTTCTCTTCATTTCCATCCAAAGTGTTTGTAATTGTTAAATGAACCAAATGGAGATTTGTCTACAGATATCCCCACAGTTCAACTTATTAATATGTCAAGTGTAAACACCTCCATGTCCTGCCTTTTTGACAATGAGCCTATGTGTGTCTGGCTTATTGGATTTTAAAGACCCGCCACTAGCTGTGTTGTAGACACAATAAAGGAATCATCAAACAGACATTGCAGAAGTGGAGCTGCCCCTCCTCCGTCTCCAAAAGCCATTCTACCCATATCAGGTGTTTACAAAAACTGATGTTTAATTAAGTAACTGTGTTTCTGCCTTTCCCCTAACTGTTACCGACATATTGCTAACCTTAAACGGCTCCATAATTAGTTGTAAAAGTAGACTCTAGTAGAGAAATACACACATATATTTTCCATGTAAATACAGTACTGTACTCAAACCTTAGTATCAACAAATGTAAATAATATACACTATTACTACTCACATTAAAAATGGGGGCCCGAACTTAAGGGTCAGACTTTGGTTTCAATAAGGTTTGTCTACTCAGGTACAATAAACAAGTGCTTACACACCCTGAAACAGAACTCCGCTATATGGCTTCAAAAGTCTCACAAATAATGTTAACAAATGTCCCTTTTTGCTATTAGGACTACAAAGAAAGGAGAGCTTTTATTGTGGCCAGAAAGACCCAAGGTGATCCGAGAACATGTGAAAAATATTTGCAGCCATAAAGAAAGGCCAATTGGTATTAATGATGCGGTTGGCAGTAGAGGCCACAGGAAGTGTGCGTTTGTGTGTGTGTGTGAGTGTAAGTTTGAAGTGTGTTTGGTCTGGGTCAGTCAGACACACTTGTTTCCCACTAGGATGGATCTGACCAAGGCCACAGGGCAGGGAGCCCACAGATTCATCAGACTCGTCATCTCCGGGGTGTCCGATATCCCAGGGTGCAGCTGCCAGGCCAGCAGTGGCAACTTTGATGCACTCCAGGTGGGCAAGCAGTCAGCTTCAGATTCTACAAGTTAAAATGAGAAGGAGAATAGTAAAAATACCCATTAATAACATATATGATCTAAATGTTTGTATGTTTATGGTAAACTTGAAGATGCAATGAAGAAAGTTGTTGAAATTACTCAATGTGTTTACATTAATTCTTTGCAAAAATAAGCATACTGAGCAGTTGTTGAGTTAGGCTTTACTTAAAGAAATGAATTGTGACTTGAACTTCCACATTAATGAATTGGAGTTGCACCCATTACTTGATTTAATCCAAAATATATAATTTTGGGGAAAACTTTTTATTTAAAAAGTGAGCATCCTTAATTCATTTAACTTTTTCTGTCACTCTGTCTCTCTACACTCTACACATATGTGTGTGAGCTCTAGCATGGCACGTCAAATTAACCAGTTTGAAAAATCGTACAAAAATGTTCCTAAGACTGATGCCTTTTGATACATTGTATTAAATTACTCAAAACGATATGAAATGCGACATGCAAAACATGTGAGAAGACAATCACAGCCAGAGTTGGGACTGATTTCAACTTTGTATGACATTTGAAATTGCATAAATAAAAGTACTGTAGGTGAAAGCATTCTTTTGCTATGAAAAAACTGATCTTGGCTCCCTTTTCAGTAAATGTACAACTGAACTGGTTTAATCCCATGCAAAGATGAATATGGATTTAAAAAAGAAGATATGGTAACTTATTTGAATTAAGCATATAATTCAACTTTGTTGACTTGAAAAGACTTAAAATTTTAATTTTAACAGTAAGGACGGGACTTCAGACTTTTCCTTACTTCATACTTAATTCCAACTTAATCATCTTTATTTGAGACTTGGTTCAGGACTTGAGGATAAAAACTTAAAACTTGCATATATGAAAACATTTTGCTTTAAATGTTATAAGCTAAAACTGAGGCTCATCTGGCCAAATGTTAGCGCTGTACCTTCACGGATTTACTGATTATTCCTAATACAGAGACGTGACATCCCTCTGCCAAGTGTGAGCTACAAATTGCACGGTATCTTCAACGAGTCTTAGCTATTTAATTATGCAAAGCAAAAAAATAACTTGTTTGTTTTATTTTATTGAATTTAAACTAAATAAATCGCTTACAAAAAAACTGTATTAAAATAAATATAATCCTGCAGTCTAAAGAAATTAATTCAAACACATATGAAACATAATATGAAGTATCAACTTTACCTGGCCAATACTGCTAAAGCATTGGTATTGCATTCAGATTAACATTAGCATCAATATAAAAGATACAGTAGGTGCTGTAGTAGCTAGTTACTTTTTCTCAGGTACAATTAAGGAACCTTTGCAAAAATTTTACTTTTAGGAACAGTTTTGCTGCCACATATGCTTTGCTTTTAGTTGAATAATATATTTATCAAATATTGGTTCTTTCACTTGATGAAAATTTGTGGGGGGAATGTATTGTCATTATAGACTACAAGTATTTATGTTATAAGGTTTATGTTGAAAAATATTTGGAATAGTTCTCTTTTTCTGTGTTTCGTCTAGTTTTGCATTACTGAACACATAGGTATTTCATAAGTATACAGGTGGGAATATTACAAGACAAGGGATTGACAGTATTTATAATTCAGCTAAGGAAAGTCCAACAATCCAATTCCACCCATGAAATTGGAAGAATAGAAAGATAAACAATTATTTAATACGCACAAGGAAACATGGATGAATCTTATTTGTGTTTCCTTCAAAAACCCTTGATGTTTTTAAGTGTCGTCAATAGACAAAGCTCTGGTTCTATGAGAATTTAAATGCTGAAAATATTGGTTAAGTTGGAACAAAAATCAAAAGAGACATATGGTTGTTCTGTTTGATTTATGTATTTTTTGTCATTTGCATTTATTATTTTTAATGGGTTTTATTTTTCTGACATAAAAATATTTTATATTACTACTACTTGGGAGTGGCAACCATGTATGCAATGAATTGTGTTCCATTATTGTTGCCAGAAAATGAATAGAAATGAAAATAACTGCAATCCAGAGAAGAAGTACTAAAAATATTCTTAATTTAATGTTTTAGTTTTTCAGATTATATTTGTATTGGTCCAAAGTGAATGTTAGGGTTGGGCTTGAAGTGAAGACAATATCATCTGTAATAAAAGAGTGTATTTCGAAAAGAATGTAATTCATAAAACAGTATATATGAAAGACAGAATTTAGAAAAAGTCTATGAAACTATGAAATTAAGTTATATTTTTTGGCAAAACGTTATTAATTAAAAACAAAGCAGTTTTTTTTATTATTAATTGAAAGTAATCATTGTATCATGACTTTTTGTAACCAATAAAAATATGTCGTTTTTCTGAAATATATAAATCAGAATTTGGTTTTAAGAAGTCTTACAAACATCCATGTTTGCTCCAAGTTTTTCATTTTAAATACATTTTCATATTTCATTAGGTTTTACAGTTTTTTATCTTTACTTTATTTTTATAAAAGCTTAGAGGAAAACATACCTGCTGCTTGTTAGTATGTGGGTAGCAATCTTTCTGAGATTCTTATCATAGATGTGAAAAATAACCCCTTGCAGTGGTTGCTCATAATACATATTTGTCTCTTTAAGAACCAGATGCCTCGTTAAATCCGGAAACATGTGACAAGTTTGATTTAGGGCTGTTTGTAATGAAATAGCAGAAGTTCTTCTTAGCAATCCATCAACACAACCTGAAAGCAGATATTTTTCTAACCTGTTGTGCGTTGTGCAGGTATGAAGTTTAACCTATAAATAAACCACTGCACACACCTTCAAGGCAGCTTACACACTGAAAAGCTTTTCTTTTTTTACTTAATTCTTAAAAAAGATAACTAACATTGGCTTTTATACAGATTGATAAAGTATTTACAAAAATAGGAAAAATGCTCAAAAGGTGAAAATAAGGGAACACCTACTAATTTTTATTATATTGTTATAATATGTTGAACGTGCAAACATCTCTTAGCATTGTGCATAGCTAAAAATTGAATGTTATTGTCTTTGGGTAAAAAAAGAACTCAAAAAAGTAAAGCAACATCATAGATCCAAATAATGGAAAATCCAGTTTAAAAAAAAAATCTGTATTTATTAGATAGGGGAATATGTTGAGGACCATATTATATGGCAAAGATCTATATGAGTTATAATAACTATCTTACAGGTCTCTCAGGTTTGGATTTAGAGTCATACACAAATGAAATGGAAAGTCACATTAGAGCGTGATCCTACAGTATATCACTGGAAATCATGTAACACAAGTCAACATGAGGTTTAGTAGAGTAGGTGGCCTCCATGTGCCTGTAGGACCTCCATACAATGCCTGAGTATGCTGCTGGTGGAGGATGTTCTCCAAAGCATCAGTCAACTCAATGTGTTGTACAATGTGTCGTTGGTGGAAGGAACGAGACATCATGTCCTAGTCTATAGCTTTGAAGGCTTTCATAATGCAGGAACTATTGATTCCCTTTAGCCACATGTGGAGTAGTGTTCTCACAGAGAGGAAGCAAACCAGGGCCAGCTGCAGCAACATATGGTTTCACCAACGAGTTTGAGGAGCTCATCCTAGTACTGGATTGAGGTCAGGGTACATCTGGCTAGTACGCGGAGGGCTCTGTAGTCTTTAATGACCAGGTCTGTCACAAGGGCTTAGTCTCAACCTGCGCTCATCCTTCATAGAGGTTGTCTTTCCCTCCACCTCTCATTTCCACATGTGTCTTTCCCTTTTGTACCAGTGTAGGTTAAATGGATTCACTATCAGTGTTTCTTGCTAACTGGACAGGTTAATTTCACAGAACTAGGACGGAGTTGGAGTTCCATTGTGTTGTTAAGGTGTTCTTTTTTTTTTGAGCAGTTTATATTTTTATTCGCTTTTATTTAATGGTATTTCTAGAAGTACCTTTCTTCCGTTAAGTTGTTAAAATAGAAAGTCTCTGGTGCTTCCTGTGATGCATCAACTGAAGTGTTTAAGTGAGTCTCTCCTTTACTTGGTCAAATATGGATACTGCTCACACTGAGCCATTGATTTTACTTGAAATTTTGGGTGGGTTTTTTTAGCAAAAATTCCCACTAAAATACTTGATTCAACCTCACCTTTCATCCAAACGCCCTTTTAAGAGCCGTTAATGAAAGCCCATCATTCCTGTGAACACCTCCGCCAGGGCCAATCATCATCTAGGACTGCAGAAGCGGCAGCCCTACTCAATCCAATCTCCACAATCAACCTCGGCTCTATTCCTTTTTTGGCCTCCATTTCATCACCAATACCAAGCCCCAGGAGGGAAACCTATTATAATTCATCTGCTCAATGATAACATCATAATTCTCAATTCTTACATCTTTCATTGGGAGCTTAGCATCAAAGGCAGTTGATTGTTAGCTCATACTTTGTTGCTGGATTAACTTGACCATATTTTTATTAGATAGGGCCAATAGTCTATGGCCAATTCTCTTTATATGTTCTATATATGTTCAATTCATTTTGATTCAGTTTATCTATATAGGGCCAATTCACAGCACATGTCATCTCAAGGCACTTTACAATTCAACTAGATAATACAGTAAAATTGATTTAAAGTTTTCTGTCTAAGCAAACTAAGCATGCTTGTAGCGACAGTAGAGTGGAAACATTCCCTTTTAACAGGACTCCTCCTGTACAGAGAAATTAGCCGCATGCACTGCTCAGGTGTGATTTTGGCCCATTCTTCCACACAAACATTCTTCAAATCTTGAAGGTTTTGTGGGTCTCTTCCATAAACTCTGATCTTTAGTTCTTTCTGTAGGTTCTCCATTGGATACAAGTAAGGTGACTGGCTGGGCCAATCTAGCAGCTTTATTTTGATTCTCTGAATCAAAGTGAGTTTCCTTAGAATAGAATAGAATAGAATAGAATAGAATAGAATAGAATAGAATAGAATAGAATAGAAAATCCCTTTATTGTCCCTACAATGAGGAAATTCTGCTGTGTACAGCAGCAAAATGATTATAGAAAAAATCG